GGGCTAAGAATAGAAATAGACAAATTAGATAAATTGATAATCATCTGATTTAAAAATAGTTGCGAACATAATAACACACAAAATCTGGTCTATTACTACATCATAGATCATCCTCCACTACGCTCTAGACAATAAGTTTTATATATACCAAGTTCTATAAACTAGTTGTCCATTAGGTGTGTTCGTTGTTCATTACTGCTATTTGTTCAATACTGGGGCTGTTTTCTTTAAAATATGTTGTAGGCAGTTAGATTTACTTTCAATAACCACTTTTTATAATTATTATATACTATATTAAGTAATTATAAATAAAAGTTGTATATGAGCCATTTTAAACAAAGTAGACATATACAATTTTTAATAGTATCTATTTTTAGATCATTGAGATTTCGAATCTAATATTGTTAGATCAAGATTCTGTAATCTAATTTTTTTTTTAATTTTATAGAACCGTTATAAATATCCTAGCAACTTGTTATATACAAATAACCATCGTCACAAATATTTATGATCCAAAAGATCTATATTTATACGTAAAAACCTAGTTTGCTTACTTTGTTACCAGAGTATCAATTCTTATCTGATAATTCAGATATATCATCAGAACTTTATTTATTATTAAAAGTTGCAAATATTAATTCAGACAAAAATAGTGAAGTATATATTCTTTTAATTCTGGAATATGGTATATATACACATCTTGGTAAATATTATTTTTATATATATCTTGAATAGTGTGAGATTTGTAAAACTATTCTTTACTGATGACAGATTTTGGCACAAATGATAGTTTTCAAGAACCAGTTGTGTCAAACTGCTTACCTGATTCATTATCTAGTTTATGAAATTATATTAAAAATGACAAAACTATTAATTATAAGGATGAAGTTTCTATGATATACTTAATGAGACAAAAAATGTTCAGTGGCTTTGAGGATTTGTAAATAATAAATATCTTGATATTTTTTTAAATGAGCATATAGTTTATAATGCTGAAAAAAAATAAGACAAATTTTATAACTTAATTAAACAAAAATCAACTGAATTACAAAATGAATTAAAAAACTTAATACAACTAATAAAATAATAATTAAAAATAGGCTACCAGTTCAAACTAAAGGTTGAGAAAATGTTGCACCTACAATTGTTTAAGCGATGGCTATTTAACTTACTAATACTGAAGCACAATACCAAAATCTTGCTAAAAAGCTTCATCTATCACAAGAAAATATTGAAAACTTACAAAATAAATTAGATAATTTAAATTCGTCTAGGTAAGTTAAATATTTATATACAACATTATACTGTATAATATAATTAAATAATACTTATTTTTTGTATAGTGATGAATCTGAAATAAGTGATTCTGATGAATTAGATTTTTTGAGCATATTGAAAATTATTAATACACTTACTACAAAAGGAGAATTATGATCTTCAATATTAATTAGTACTAATATATTTCTTAAACTAATTATAAACCAACCTTGTTCAACTTGTGTATCAATAGAAATTAGACAGCGAAGATACAAAATTAAAGTTACTAGATTTTCAATTAAAATTATAATAGTATACCATATATGCCAATCAACAAGCATATATCAAAATAAATCTCAAAATATGAATTTTTCTCAAGCTGTTGCTAGTTAAAAATTAGCTGCTAGAGCAAATAGAGAAGAATTAAAAACAATTTTAGCATTTTGTGAAATTACACTTCAAAGTGGTTATAAACAATATTTTAATTATCAAAATATAATGCATAATAGTATTATTAAAACTGCTAAAATTAGTGCTGAAACAGGTCTAAATACTATAATTGAATCATTAAAAAAACTGATAAATATATAGTAGAAGGAAGTTTTGATTGCACTTGGAGTCATGTTTGTAAAGCTTCACAAGCAAGTGGAGAACTTATATTTAATAGATATTTAGAAAGTAAATAAATATTAAATTTTTATCTAAAACAATTTTATTAATATTTTGCAATAAATATTTCACAGTTAATATTTTTACGGCAAAGTTTTTTTATATATATTAACTTTTTATTTGACATAAAAAAGTACTGTAAAGAATATTGAAAAGAAAATTACAGGTATTAAATTTGTAAAATAATTATCATATTTATAATTAGGTTTTATGTATCATCCTATTATTGCTTTTCATATGGTTGAAAAACCACGAATATATAAAACTAAAAAAAAAAATCAAGTAGCAATTAATGAAGGCAATTATAATAGCAGTTCTCAACAAATAAAACATGCTATTTTAATTAAAATTATTGAAAAAATTACTCCCTTTCTTATAGATAATCAAATGGTACTAGATATTGGCATTGATGGTGATTTAAATAGTAATAAAATACTCGGAGAAGAAAAAATTATTTATAAAATCTTTGCAGATTTAAAACATAAAGCTAAACTTGTTAGAAATAAAATAGGTAATAAATATTATATTACTAAATTATATTTAATACAATTTTTAAAATTTAAATTACCTTTATAGTAGCTGATCATAAATAGAAATTATTAGAGCAACCAATAATGAAATATTATATCAAATATATTTACGCTGCTATTGCTAGATGCCGAAATTCTACTGTTGATAATCCTACAGATAATAATCTTTTCTTTATACAAACAGAAGAAGTAATTGCGCATCTTTCTGATAAGCATTCAAATTGCTAGCCCAAAGTATGCTAGATTAATACAAATTCAGATATAGAATTGAAAATGCCTAATTTAAAATTATATCATAAAAGTCAAAAAGAGCAATTGTTAAATTTTCTTTGCAAAATTATGGAACTTAAAGAAAATCAAAATCTTATTACAACTATTAGAACTAGTATTAATAAAGCTTTTAACCATGTAAAATTAAATTATACTGACAAAAAAGCAGATTATCCTAAATATTATGCTACATGTCATACCTTATCAATAATTTACAATAATAGAAACACTTTGTATTAGTTAAAGAGCTGCAAACCTTTCAGAATTTTCAAATAATGATAAGGCTAATATATTAAAAATCTGAAAGAAAGAAAAAAAAAGCATTAATATAATTTAGCTACAATTGAAGAAAGAAATCAACAACGTGCGAACAAAATAGTAAATAAAAAAATAATTTGAAAGAATTTGAATTTAATCAGATTAGTAAATATAACATAACAATTTTAAATAATAAAAATTCAAAGTCTATTTTCATTTTTTAGGATTTGATTCCTTATAGCTATTATATACAAGAAAGTATTCAAAACCACACTTATATTCCATCATTTGCAAATTTGTTTAAAAACTTTGGTAATGCATTTCTGTATAATGGGTATTATTGTTTTAAGCATCGGTTTGCAACTGGACTTTGCCTTCTTTGTGGCTTTTATTTGCATCATGATTTGAATAATCTTATACCAAATTCTAATTTTAAAAATCACATATCAAATCATATAACAAATAAATTACTTATTGATGCTATATTGGATGAGATATTTAAACTACCAAGTTATCAGGAAATTCAAAGAGAAAGTATTCAGTCATTTATCTCTGGTCAAGATACCTTAGCCCTTTTAAGAACTGTGGTAGAAAAACTTTAATTTATTCAGTGGCTAGTATTTTATTATCACAGTTAATTGTCATATTTACGTCTATGAAGTCTTTAATGAATGATCAAATAGTAAGTATTTAAAAATAATCAACTCCAAAAATTATATTCATCTTTTCAAAATTTAGTATGATCTGGTCAAGCAAGGTATACCAGCTACTGTACTTTTTGCTACTTCTGACCAGTCTCCTGAAATTGTAAAAAAAATTTTTGCAGAAATTGTATCAGGAATTATGTGTGTATTGTTTGTAATAGCAGAAAAATATGTAAAAAATTAATCATTTAGAAAAATGTTAAAAAGAATATAAAAAAACCAAGGCTTACAATTCGTAATAGACAAAGCCCATTGTGTTTTGAATTTTAGATATTTTAGATAAGCTATATTAGAGTTTGAAACTGGGTTTATTTTTTATATATAAAAACTAATTAAAACTGGTTTTAACATATGAAAAATAAAACTGGTTCCAAACTCTAAGTTGTAGAAATAAGAATATATTATCTAATAACTTACTGTGATTTGTCTATAAATAATAAAATTATTCAGTAGATATATAGTCTAAACTACTTTAGACTAGTTTAACTACCTTTTCTATTGAATAATAAATTATTAAATAGACAAATCCATGTGAGTTACCAAATAAATCTATATTAATTATGCTAATACTGCCTTATAACTTATTTATTTGGTCACAAATTTAAAATTTATCTAAAAAATAAATTTCTTCAGAATTCAATTTCTTATGCTTATTTTAAATTCATGATCAAATAAACTAGCAATCAGGTAGTACTTGCTTAATAACTATTATAGCTGTTTTCAAAAAGGTGTGAACAGATGCAAATAGCTATATCACAGGAAATTTACAAAATTACCCAGATTTCCAAAACTTTCAAAGCTAGCTTTAATCAGACTTCAATTTTTACTAATGATAATTTCCTAATTCTTCGATTCCCCACATAGGTATGTGGAAATCATTGCCTACATTTTTTTGAAAACAGCTATAATTATTACAACTATAGAATTGCTCATGAATTTGCTTTGGCAGAGATGATTGGAGTAAATTAGATTCTTTAAAATCTGAATTTTTCTTGATACTATTATTGTTACTAACTGCAACATGTCATCAACAAAGCACTAGAGATCTTGCAACTATTTTGTATAGGTCTTTATTAAATATTATTCGTAGTTTCATTGTTTATCAACTAGAAATTGAAATGGAAGTTCAGTTAAAACCTAGAAGAAATGAGCTATTTAAAGAGATGGTTTTGGAGATCTTAGGAACAATATCTTAGGAATGTGCTATCATATACTGTGCCACACTTTCAGATTGTAATCAAATAGAAAATATCTTATTAGAGCAGTTTAGTCAGTCTGAAATTGGAAAATATCATGGAAAAATGACAACGATTCAAAAATCCCAAACTAGCTGATTTTGTAAAGAAAAAAATTAAAATTTATAGTGGCCACAAATGCATTTGGAATAGGCATTAATGTAGATGATGTAAGATTAGTTTTACATACCACATTTCCTATATCATTAGACAATTTTGTCCAAGAAATCGGGAGAGCAGGACAGGATCATATGCAAGCAAAACAAGTGATACTTTACACATGTTCAGATATTCAGTTTCTATTAATCATACTAAATAATAGAATTGAAAGATAATACTGCAAATTAAATTAAATTTTGAATTTGAATCAAATATTTGAAATTATTTAATCAAATTTTTAATTAATTTGATCAAATAATTTCAAATATTTGATTCAAATTCAAAATTTAATTTGATTTTGCAGAGTACTAGTCTTGAATATATTTAGAAATACTAATTGATTATACTGTGACTAATTACTTAACTTCATTGATTGCTAAATTTTTTTATTGCAATTTTATGTCTATGAAAAAATAACCAAGCATAAACAATCACAAACGAGCAATCATATAAAATCAAAAAAATTTTGATCGATCACTATTCCTAAACATATTAAATAGAAAATTTAAATTTCATAAATATATTTTAGTACAAACAATATTTTGCATACTATAAATGATGAAATGGATCCAATATAAAGAACACAAATTTTAACTCGCCATTCATACTTAGATGAAGAAATAAAAAAATATTAGAAATGATATTGTTTTGTGAAAATTAATATGAATGTAGACAACAAATTATATACAGACCATATATTTGGGATGGTGATGACGATGTTCTACAATATTACTAATGT